CGATAATAATCATTAAATACAAAATTCTTATTGGTTAATAAAATAGGGACCCTAGATTTATAATTCCAAGTTAAAACAAGTCTTGTAAAAAGGTAAATAGAGTTTGAAAATACGCGAAAGCAAGGGATTATCACATAAGTGGTTATAAAGGTGTGAAAATCTGGAACAAGAAAAAATTTAAAAAATTAAAAGGTGTACACCGTAGCTCGTTGGATAGGCACTGCGGCGTGTTTGCCTCTATGACACACACTGTGGCGTGTGACGCCATGTGCCGCGGTGTAAATGCATGAACTTTGACAATGAATTCTACTATCAATATGATAGCTTTAGGGCCAACTTCTGACGTGCCCCAATTCTCCGTCCGATGTTTGAATGATGCAAACTAGGAGTCTACAAAAAGCACTTTCTAGGCTCTAACCAATGGCATTGGTCTCAAGCTCAAATTATTTTTAAAATAAGAATTGGACACCCTTTTCAAAACTTACTGCTTTACCTTAACTTTCATAAAATTCAAGTGTCCTATCCCACAATTAAGGACCAATAGCCACAAACACCAAATGACCATATTCAACTCAATAAAGTTAATTCATGCAAAGCACCAAAACAAAAGAAATATGTCCAGATCAAATTTTTCCTACTTGACCCGTTAACTCAAAATTATAGGAAGGGGGAGTTCAACATAATTTTCATTAAGGTTTCCCAAATCATCACAATATATACACTACCCTTACTTACATTAGTATTTTGGCCCTATCAACAATACACATAATAGTCAACTCTCTCACTAAGGCCTAAAATACCAATTACAATTTACTTTTCTCTTAATGCAAGTAAGTAACAAAAAGGAAAATCCTAGTTGGCAATTGAAATTGTCATACACACCAATTACTCAAATTTAAGAGGCCTACTACAAAAGGATCGTGATCCTAAGCCTCGAGTTGTTTTCCTCTGTCCACACTTTTTAAGCTATTTCCTAAAATATTGAGAATAAAGGGGTAAGTACAACTACTCAGTAACCAAGGTCCGACTAATTCATGCGAATGCATCACAACTAGTTTAAATACAAGTGGCAATTAATATTATTACTCTAAACCATGTAAGATATTTGAAAACTTAATATCCATATTTTAGCTAAAATAATAGCAATGACTAGGAAAATATCACTTTTAACACTTTTCATAGAGCTAGAGTTGATCAAGCAATTTATTGACAAGCATAAAAGCATAAAATAATGCTCAACTCAAAATACCATCCTTATGGACTCAATATGGACAAGTGTCTTTACTTACTATATGCATGATCGCACCTCCCTTATCACTCCTTATTCCTCTGACATGAAACTGTAGGCTATAACTCAACAGGATATTCTATATTCATTGACTTCCCTAGCCTAAACACTTGTGAGGGAATTACCCGGCCAAGGCATACCTAACTTACTTATGAATCACGATTTCTCCCATTTCTCACATTATAGGGTGTCATATACCCTAGACTAGCTTCCTCATTGAACAGGTGGATAGTTAGCTAGGTTCGAGTCCCTCGTTAAACCAGTGGGGCAGTCCCTCGTTAAACCAATAGGACAGTGAGGATAGAATTAAACTAGGCAATCCACCACATGGATGGAGCTTTACTACGTGGATTTCTTATCTACTCCACTTCCTAGGCAAACTCCCGCCTCTCAAGATCATGCAATGGACATTCATTCCATAACTCACATATACACAGTTTCTTAGAACATCACATTACACAATTATTGGACTTCTCACACATATTTTATGGAACTTCAAAAACTAACAAGTCATTGAACTCCCAAATCACAATCATTGTACCTCACACATTTAAAATTATTGAACTTCAATATTACACAATCATTGAACTTCTCAAACACATTTCATGAAACTTCTAAACCAAAAAATCATTGAACTCCTGAATCACAATCATTGTACCTCACACTTTTAAAATCATTGAACTTTATCATTACACAATCATTAAATTTCTCAAACACATTTCATGGAACTTCTAAACCAAACAAATCATTAAACTCCCAATAAACATTAATGCGAAAATCCACCACTCTTATTTTCAAGGAAAAATTTGCATCATGAGACATAAAGCTCTCAAATTTAATCTAGCAAATTTCTTCACAAATTAAGCCACACATGCATTTTCTCTAGTTTGTACATTTCAATAGTATTTCATAAATCAATAAACTAATACACACACAAGCATAAGATAGAATTCCTTCGGTTACCTCAAACCTTTGAGAGGTCAAAGGTTTCACCCCTTAACTATTCGCTCCTGAAGCTTTTAAGAAGCTTGAATGGTGCCAATGGTAATTACACTACAAGCATTTATCATGCAAAACATTAATATCTATTTTAAGCTATTTTTTACTACCATTTTCATCATTTTTTAATACTCAAGCTTTATTCTAAACTCATGTAGAAGTACCCATGAGGTTTCTTAGCTTCCTTTAATTTTCATTTATAACATTAAACTCTTAAATGGGAATTAATGAAGCCACATTATTCCCAACTACCAAATTTATGGGAATTTCAAACATTTAATGTCCTCCAACCATCAATCATCATAAAATCATAATTATCAAGTTTACTTAGCTCAACCTACCCCCATTAACTCTATTTAAGTCAATGGGTTCGAACCCATAACATCTATGGACCAAAAATCACCATTAAAAATTAAACCCTAACTTCTACCATTAAGAAAATGGAAGAAGAAAGGAAGATTTAAGCTAGGAGACTTATCTTAGGTGTTTATAAGCTCCAAATTACTCCCCACAATCAGCTTCTTCAAACCCTAACTTAGCTTTTTTGCCCCTCATTCATTCTCCTTTTGTTTTCTCTTCTGTTTCACATCAACTTTGCAACTTAATACTGTAAAATTCTAGCTATGTGCTACGGCGAATGCACAATGCACTGCGGCGCATGGCACAGAGAGCTTCTCCTAGGCGTGTTGGCACACATTTGCCGTGACGAACTAACCCCATGTCATAGTGCATGGCACAGAACCACTCCCTTCAAAAATTCTTCCTCTTATATCCCTAGGTGACCCGATTCTCTTTCAGACCCATGTTTGATACTAAAATTGAGATCAAACATGCCTACTAGATCTCTCTGGCCACACACCTCAAAGATTCACTTTACTAATCTTTTTAAGTTTAGTTAATCTGGGTTTAAAATTGAGGATGTTATAAATACTTCATAAGGGCGCATGAATCATGGTGTTAATTTCTTCACCTTAATTGCCCTGCTAATACCAGTCATTGGTGTTCCCCTCAAAAAAACATGTTCCCCAACAAGAAATTCCAATGGTCGCCTTCATCTATCTGCATAGCTCTTTTATCTACTTTACACCATTAACAACCTTTGTCTAATCATCTCGATCTTTCTGGTGGTTTGATCTACCAATTCAGGACCCAACAAAGTTCTCTCACTCAACTCTATCCAACAAAGAGGAGATTGACATTTTCTCCCATATAAAGATATGTATGGAGCCATTTGAATGCTCGAATGATAACTATTATTATAAGCAAATTCGACTAATGGTAAATGATTATCCCAGGTACCTCTTAATTCAATAGTGCATGCCCTTAGCATATTTTCTAATGTCTGAATAGTCCTTTCAGTCTGTCCATCCGTTTGAGGGTGGTTGGTTGTGCTGAATTGTAGCTTAGTCCCCATTGTATCTTGCAATGCCTTCCAAAATCGTGAAGTAAAATGAGGATCTCTATCTGACACTATGCTTTTTGGCACTCCATGTAATCTCACTACTTCCTTATATAAATCTCTGCTAGCTTCTCTATTGAATGAGTCATTCGAACAATCAGGAAATGAGCAGATTTAGTTAGTCGATCCACAATTACCCAGATTGCATTATTTCTAATCGAAGTCCTTGGTAATCCTGTGATAAAATCCATGGATATGCTATCCTATTTCCACTCAGGTATATTCAGTGGCTGTAACAAACTAACAGGCTTTTGATGCTCAATCTTAACTCTCTAACATGTCAAGCAATGGGTAGCAAATTCAGTTACGTCTTTCTTCATTCCTGGCCACCAGTAATTCCTCCGAAGGTCATGATACATTTTGGTTACCCCAAGATGAATCGTGTATTTACTTTGATGAGCCTCCATCAACATGAATTTTCAAAGTTGATCATCATTAGGAATATAAACCTTTCCTTTGTACCTCAATATACCATCATCCCAAACTTAAAATCATTCAGTTCACCTTCTTCAAGTCTCTCTCTTAACCCTAACTGGTATTCATCCTCCAACTATATAATTTTTAAATCCTTCCAAAACTTATTTTCAATTTTTACCATGCTTATATAAGTCAATCTCTTAGACGGGACCTCCACTGGCATGTCCATCAGCAAGTATGCCATGTGTATGGATTTCTTATTTAATGCATCTATTACTACATTTACTTTCCCGGGATGATATTTCAATTCAAAGTCATAATCTTTGAGGAACTTCATCCACCTCCTTTGACGCATGTTTAGTCCTTCAAATCCATAAGGTATTTTAGGCTCTTATGGTCGTTATAGACCTCGAATTCAGAGCCATATAAATAGTGTCTTTAGATCTTCAAAGCAAACACTATTGCTGCTAATTCCATATCATGAATAAGATAATTTTCTTCATAGGGCCTTAATCGTCTGGAGATATAAGCAACCACTCGTCCTCTCTACATTAACACATATCCAAGCCCTTTCAAGGAGGCATCGGTGTATAGAGTATAAGGTTGGGTAGGATCTAAGATCACTAGTATCGAAGTAGTTGTCAACTTGTTCTTCAACTCTTAGAATGCTACTTCACATTTATCATTCCATATGTACAGTTAGTCCTTCTTAGTTAATATGGTTAATGGCATAGCAATTTAGGAAAAATCTTGAATAAATCGCCGGTAATAGCCAACCAAACCCAGAAAACTTCTTATCTCAATCATATTTTACGATCTCTCCTACTTAGTTATTACCTTGATTTTACTCGGGTCTACTACCACATCTTCTGTTGATACAACATGTCCTAAAAATCTAACCTCATGGAGCCAAAATTCACACTTCAATAACTTTGCATAAAGCTTATGTTTCCTTAGAACTTGTAGTACGACTCTAAGATGCTCCTTATGCTCCTCCTTATTTTTAGAATAAACGAAGATGTCATCTATGAAAACTACTACAAACCTGTCCAGATATGCCTTGAAAATCCAATTCATATAGTCTATAAAGATTGCAGGTGCATTAGTAAGCCCAAACAGCATTACCAAGAACTCATAATATCCGTATCTAGTTATGAATGCAGTTGTTGGCACATCTTCCGCCCTAACCTTAACTGATGATATCCAGACCGTAGATCAATCTTGAAAAATACTACTACACCAGTTAACTGATCAAGCAGGTCATCAATTCATGGTAGAGGATATTTGTTCTTAATTGTGACCTTATTGAGCTGTTTGTAATCAATGCATAGCCTCAAACTACCATCTTTCTTCTTAACAAATAGTACTGGGGACCCCCAAGGAGACACACTCGGTTTGATGAATCCTTTCTCCATCAACTCCTCAATCTGCTTTTTCAACTCAGCTAACTTTAAAGGTGACATTTGATAAAGAGCCTTAGAGATGGGCTTTGTCCCAAGTACCAAGTCAATAAAGATCTCTACTTCCCATTCTGGTGGCAAGCCGACTATATCCTTAGGAAAAACATCTAGGAACTCTTGTACCACATCAATCAATTTTAGCCCCTCTTTCATATCTATATTGATAGAAAAGAAAATAGCAAATGCTTGACACCCTTTTTCTAATACACCTATTCGCCTGAGTAGCCGACAATAATTAGGGTCTACTAGATGTAACTATTGAAGCAATGAACACAGGCAGGACACAATTTTCTTTTTACAATCTAAAATGGCATTATTTGCTGAAATCCAATCCATTCCAACAATCAGATCAATCCCCTTCATAGGCAGACAAATCAAATCCATAGTAGAAGTTCTATTCTCAAACTCTACCACACAATTTAAACAAGATTTTGATGTCACAACAACAGTACCGGATGGTATACAAACTCTCACATTATAAGGTAGATCATACACATTCAAGTTAAATTTCTCCACACAATCATGTGACACAAAAGAATGAATTACCCCAGAATCAAATAAAGCAATAAAGTGATGCCCATTAAGTTTTAAATTACCTCAAATTAAGTTTGGGGAGGCATCAGCCTCCTGCTGAGTCATAGCAAAGACTCGTCCAGGAATAATAGATCTAGCCTTACTAACTACCCTAGAACCCTCTTCACAGTATCATGAGATGTGGCCTGGCTTCCCACACTTAAAACAGATGAAACACTAACCTTGGTAGAACCTCCCACACTTAGTACACTTTTGACTATTGGCGGTGCTAACTGTAGGGGTTATGGAACCTCTCTACAAGCTCTGGCCTCTATTTTGACTACTACCTTATCCACCACCATACCCACTTCTCTATCCTCCACCAAATCTCCCTTTCTAAGTGAACCTCAATCTACCACTAGAGCTACTAGAGTACCCACTCCTCTTATTAATTTCACTTGTAAGCCTCATGAACTGATTAGGCCTGAAAGAGGTCTCCTTTTTATAAGCTATCTCCTCCTCTCTCTTCCTTCAGGCCATAATACCCAATTTAATAGACATCTCCTCCATAATGTAAACCTCTAGAGGAGCTAAAGCAGTCCTCAATTCTGGTCGTGTCTTCTCTAGCAGCCTAGTCGCTTTCCAGTAAGAGTCATGTACCCTATTTGTATACTGCACTAGCTTATTAAAATGAGCTATAAAATCTTCCTCATTCATATGTCCTTGCTGTAAGGCATAAAAGTCTGCCTCTTTTTCAGCTCTCAAAGCAGTTGGAAAGCAGTACTTAAAGAATTTCTCCTTAAACTTCTCCTAAGTCATAACCCCATCCTCAGCTGGACGAATGCCATCCCACCATTTCTTAGCTGCCTTCTGTAACAACTGCTTAACCATCATTACTCTTTATTTAGAAGTACAAACTATAACTCAAAAAATCATTTCTAACTGGTCTATCCACTCTTTAGCCTCAGTTGCATTAAGCCTTCCTTCAAAAGCTGGTGGATTAAATTTTCTAAAACTCTCCTAAATCTTTATGATTTGTGATAGTAAGAGCTCCTAGGAAGGATTTCCACTACTACTCGCTCTTGTATTAATAGGAATTGCCCATGAATGTTGCTCACTCTGCCCTTCTTCCTTGCCAAAATCTTCCTCTCTCCTTAACTAAGTAGTCTCATGCCTATCGTTATTCCTTAGGTTCCCAATTTCATCTTCATTTCTTTTAACTCGACGATCGATACTAGCAAGTAAATCCCTCATTTCCCCCAGAAGTGCCCCATTATCATAATTTGAGGGCAATCCAAGAACATTATTTTCTCTACTGGTCATAACTGTTTCCCTCTCCTTCTATCAAAGATCATAACAAGAACTATTTTTAACAAATATGTTAAAATTAGTATAATCTAAACAAGTCTTAATAAACAGGAAAGTGCACATGTTTTATAATTGCCATGACTACTAAGTGAAATTTTTAAGATGCTATCATGCCATAAAAACACATAGCTCTGATACCAAAAATGCCAAGAGAAGGGAGCCTAAGCTTAATTCTTTGCCTTCCCTATAGCTCTACTTGACTGTTCACCTAAAAATGATAAGAAGTAACATGTGAGATTAAAAATCTTAGTAACAGTTGGTTATTCTAACATATACCAACATACTTCTTAAAATCAGTTCGCAAACATATCTATAGATATACATATGTATTTCACAATCAATACACAAAACAAGAAATGCAATATTTACAATTTTATAACAATTTCTAAATCAATGTCAAATTAAAACAACAGTAATACATTTCCCAACATCACCCTTATGGCTCCCAACTCCCTTATTACAGCTAGCTGGAGCTTAGACTGAGGTTATACCCGGCCAAAAGTACATTGCCATCGGAATAGGATTCTCCTCCTTACAAAAGGGGTGCCCATCATCCTAAAATGTCAAAGACATTGGGAACTACAATAAAAGGCCAACTACTACGCGCATAGTAGAGGCAAACCATATGGCATAATATTCAATCATCAATTCCAAACAAACAATCATATTACTAGCCATCCTTATTATCTCTTTTGCATCATATAAAACAAATGTCACATTCCAAAATAAGATCACATAAGTATTTATATATATATACACAATACTAAAAATCAATATTTCAATATATGAAAGGATATTCTAATGTTACCTCTGTTCCAAGCTATAACTAACTCGGATATGTAGGAAACTTCTTAACCAGGATAATAGACTAATCTATGACATCAAATGATATAAATACCATTATATATATATATATATATATATGTAATTTTTCAACTAAATATAAAATTCAACTAAACTTTTTAAATTTACAACCATATCCTTCCAATCTAAATCCCTCCGATAAAAACCCAAAATTAACTTAAATTAACTTATCTAAATCCTAAAAACATAATTTAATCCATATAGATATCCTATACATCAAAAATCACAAATTTTATAGTTAAAAACTCAATTTTAAACTCTCAAATCAGTTTATAGAACAAATCTAAATAGACAGAATTTAAGTGTTAATTTATCTCTACTAATTAATAGTTTCTGTTGTTAAAAGTCAATACTTACTCTAAGTTTAAACTTTAGAATTTTCTTTACTCATCAAAATTGTACTATTATTATAAAGCTTTGGATAAGTAGGAAAATATTTATAAAAGAAATTTTGGGAATGGAAATAGTTTTTAGTATAAAATCTTACCTCAAAAGCCTTCAAGCCCTTATCCTTCTCCTTCTCTCTATCTCTCTCTCTCTCTCTCTCTTTTCTCTCTTGTCTTGTGCATTTCTATGGGAAAAGGAAAAGCAAAGAAGATCACTTTTATATGCTCTCGCCACTGCCTCTTGTTCTCATTCTCTCTTTCTTTCTTTTCTTAACTTCAATATACTTCCTCATTAAGTCTTCTCTTTATTTTTTATATATATATATATATATATATTATCACTTATCATTATTATTTCCAATTTTTAAAAGAAAAACTTAACATAAAATTAAATTTTATGTTAAACTAAAAAAAATCTTCTAATTAGTTTCTTTATCTTCAAATATTCTTTCTACTTTTTTTATTCTAATTAACTCTAAAAATTAAAGTAGAATGTTACACCAAACACTTAAGGTAAGTTTGTTCTGCTCTCTTCTTCCTTTCTCTTCCTCATTTATAAAGGTTTGAGTTAGGTTTTAAACAATAATGGTAATTTTCAGTCTATATGAATGATGGGTCTGAACCCATTAGTTAAAATGGATATATTAGGAGTTGTTTATGGTAGAAAAGCTGTATATTGATGATTTTATCTAGAGTTAGTTGAGGTGAGTTGTTGTTATGCAAAAATTGCCATTAATGAGGTAGTTAGGAGAGTTTAATATCCATTAATGGTAGTTTAAAGATCTATTAATGATAATGTGCATTAGTGGAGCCCAATGAACCCATTGGGTATGAATAGGTAGAAAATTTATGGGATCAGTAGAGTAGAGAAAATTTAGAATTAATTTTGGTTAGTCCTTAAGAGTAAGATTTTGATGATATTCTTGGTTATGATTATAGTGTAAATCATTTAGCACCATTCAAGCTAGTGAGAAGTATTGGAACTGTTTTTGTGTGAGGGGTAAACCTTTGACCTTTCAAAGGTTTGAGGTAACTAGGGAAAACCTAACCTTATATAGTTGAATATTAATTGATTATTTCTTGAAAATGGGTTGACTTTGAATCATGAATTATATTGTAAACCATTGATGCAATTTTGACAAATGTTGATCTTGTAAAATGAAATGAATTTAAAAATGAAAACCTTATGCATGCTATCTATGAGTGTGATGCTTTCGAATTTTGACAGTTATATGATTGATAGTTGAGTTGCATGAGTATGTAAAATGCGTACATAGAATGATCATTAGTAGGAGTTCACCTAGGGAGAGGAGTAGATGGTTCAATCCATATGGTATTGGTAGTGATCATTGGAATTAGGAACTTGCCTTGGCACTAACCATTGGAATCGAGAGGTAGCCTTTGTCTTATAGTTGATTTGGGACAGTTCTACTTGTTCTATAAAGGACTCAAACCTAACTAGTCTCTACCGGTTCATAAGGAGGCTAGATTATGGGTACGCCACCTCATAGTTGTTAGTATTGGAGGTAGCTCCTCACAAGTGAAAGGCTAGGTTAGTTTATAAAGGATGTAGCCATATGATAGCCACCTATTTCATATCAGAGTGTATAAGGTTGGCATTTGATCATGCATTTAAATCTAGCCATATAGTTGTTAGTATTATAGTCTGATATGTGTTAGGGGCACATGTTTGTTAGTATTATGAATCATAGCCAAACCTATCATATGTATTGTGTTTGTACATTTTTATCTATTTGCATATTTTTACAACTGATATGCAACTATATAAATTAGGTGAAACTTAGTTATTGAGTAATTGTACTCACCCTTCAATTCTCAATATTTTTAGGACCTAACTCATCAGATATGGTTCGGGAAAAACCATTCTAAGGCATAGGATTGTGGTAAAATTCTATTTTCATGCCTCTTTACTTTATTTTATGTATAAATATTGTATAATTACTAAATAGGATCACATGTCATTATTTTATACTATATACAACTTGTGTATTTTGTGCCCCGAGTTAGTCAGTTTTAGTTGTAAACCCGTGGATAGGGCTAAAATACTTATGCAAATAGAAACATGAGTATTATGAATCATTTTGTGAATGATTTTCCTCCCCTTTGTGTTATGTGAAATTGGGTTGAGAAGTGATTTTGAGAAATATATGTTTTTGATTGTGTATGGTACATTGCATGGGTCCACTAGAGTTCATTGAGTACAGTCGAATGGTTGGTGTAGACTTTTGGCACGTGAGGTTGAGTTGGGACACCATGATTGTGAAATTTTGGTGAAAAAGTAGTAAAATGAGTTTTGGTGTCCAACTTTTTATTAAAAATTAATTTAAGTATGTAACCTATGTCATTAGCTAGAGCTAGAAGAAATTAATGTGTAGATACTGAAACCACCTCAATCGAACATCAAACAGAGATTTAAGATACGTCAGAAGTTCACTTCCATTGTTATCAAATGACAGTAGCTGCTACTATTAAATTTATGCAATGCACTGCAGCGCATGGCATAAAGGTGAGTGAGCTATGATGTATATGTCATAAGCTATGGCATATGGATCATTTTCTGCACAAAACATAGTTTTGAGTTTTAAAACTCTTTGTTTTAGGCTCTCATTTTCTTTCTAAGCTTTCGCATTATTTTTAAACTCTAATTTGAACATTTTAAGTGTATATTAGAGATTGAAAATTAATTTCTTGGGGATCTCATTCTAAATGATTTGAGAATTCTCTTTTATGTAATTTTTACAACTTTGGTAATCCTTTGAGGGTTAATCCCTTAATTACCTTAATTATGGAGTTTAATGTGATTAAGTAAGGGAGACCTTACAGTTGAGGATAAAGTATTCTTAAGGTGTCTCTTATGAAAGGAGTGATAAGATTTGGGAAGAAAGGTAAGCTGAGCCCAAGGTATATAGGCTGATTTGAGATCTTAGAGAGAATTGGTATAGTTGCTTTTGGCATTACCACCTAAATTATTAGGTATTCATCTAGTGTTTCATGTATCAATGCCACAGAAATATTTATATGACCTTTCTCATGTGATAGAAACTCAGGGGATTCAGATAGACCCAGACTTATCTTGTGAGAAAGTTCTTATGGCTATTTTGGATCAACAAGTTAAGAAGTTGTGATTGAAAGAAATTGGTTTAGTGAAAGTATTGTGGCACAATCATTCTCAAGAAGAAGCTATATGGGAAGTCAAAAGTGATATGCATGCTATGTATCCATACTTGTTTAAGGATTGAGGTAAGCACAAAT